ACGTGACATGTAGCTTTTGAACTTTCTTTTTATTTAAATAATGGCCACTGCCCTATGAGGATATGTGACAAAAACTAAACTTTGTAAGGTGTGTAGAAACAACTTAAGAGCGGTGAACAAAGTTATAGGTGAAACAGGGAACAAACTGCCAGCACCAGAGCCAGGAGTCTGGGTGTGCTCTACTCCCAGCAGCAAGGCTGTGGTTAGATCCTGGTTTGCACAAGTGCCATGTAGTCTTTGGATCTCAGGAACGAGGGAAAGGAAAGCAGCCCCAGCTTGTTTCTACAGCAAGCTAGAAACAACAGGTAATGCAGAAGTCTGAAAGTACTTCATCAGAACACCTGAAAAATATCCTCTGAAAGAACAAGCAAGGCTTTAAAAGTTCATTTTCCCTCAGTATTTATTCACAGCAGGTGCCTAGATAAATACCCTGCGGCAGTCCAGGAGGCAGGAGCCTGCAGCGGGGTGGAACAGGAACCAGCAGTGGGATGGAACGGGAGCCAGCAGTGCGCCCTTTTGGTGACAAAATGAGCCCAGCCAGCTGCTCAGGAATGGGGATTATCCCCTCTGCGGGACTCAAGAGGCCACTGCTGGAGTACCGTGCCCAGTTCTGGGATCCCCCCGTACAAGACACCAACACCTCTGAGTGAGTCCAAAGAACTGGAGCACATGAGATTGTAAGGAAAGGCAGAAGGCACTGGTTTGTACCCGGGGATGGGACAGGTACAGACAGGTGTAATCACAGCCTAAACTAAACAGAGTTCAGCTTGGAGATTCACCACCAAAAAAAAAAAGAGGTTGTGGTCATGGTGCAGAGGGAAATCCTAATGAGATACAACAAAAATATTTGCATGGTGAGAGAGCTGAAATGCTGGAACAGATTGCTTGGAAAGGCTGCTGTGTTGATACTCACAACTTGACTGGAGGGGGCCCTAACCGGTCCGACCCCAGGCACTGAGCTAGGGTTGGTGTGGACACTTGCAGAGATCCTTCTAACCTCAGCTATTCTGTGGTTCTGGCCTCACTGCTACGGAAGGAGATGAGGAGGGATACAAAAAGGAAAGCTGAAGGTGGTGGTAGACACAGAATGGATTTTGTACTAGGCAATTAATGAAAGTGTTAATTGCCAATGTTAATTTATCAGCACAGAGAATAACAAAGAAAGATAGTTTATTCATGCGTAGAACTTTTGGAAAAAGACTTGTTTTGTGTAACATTCCTAGAGCTCTCTCAAGAAGCTTCACTTTGCAATAGCTCTAATGGAGAATTACCCTCACCTTTCATGCTGCCCAGCTATGCATTATGACTCACAGTACTTTCACAGCACTAAAATGCCTCAAGTTTTTATGTCTTTCAGAAAGGTTTCTAATGAGAAATTAGACTCAATTTTGCAGCATGCAAAAGATGCTCAGTACTCCTGGATGTGTTTATGATACATAAGGGCCTCTTCCCACTTGTGAATGAAACCAATTTTTCATTATTGTCGCAGAACTAACCATGATGTTCTATTTTAGAAAGGTATCATGATTACAATCATTATAATGATGGCATGTGGTGAAACAAACGTAACTAAGTTTAAAACCAAATGCTGAAGTCAGGAAACAGTTCCTAAACAGTGTTTGGTTTGAGATCTCTCAAATTTCAACAGACACAAGATGAATAAACAGCCAGTCTGTTTGCAGCATCCTCCAAGGGCTGCTGATGCACAGCAGGTTGGCACAGGCGCCCCAGACACAATTCTCATCTTGTTTCAGCTGACTCTCTCACATCTGAGCATGCCTGGAGCCCATAGCAGAACAGGGGCCCAAAGCCAAGGAGCAGCTCGCTGGCAGAGGAGTCGGTGCCAGCAGCAGGTGATGCAGCCGGTGGGAGGCAGAGCGCATGGCACAGCCCAAAGGGCACCCCCAGCCAGTTCATGTAGGTACCCTGCATCCTTACCTGTCCCGCTGCTTTATTGGTAGCGTTTTGACAGCAGATGTCAGGTCAAGGCAGGGTCAGAAGCCTTCACATTCCTGTCCTAATACTCATAGTCTATATGAAGCAATGTATTTCCAACATATTTGACTAGTACAGCCAGACAGGAACCAAACCAAAGCCAAGTACTGGGCACTGAGAGGCAGGTTAAGTTACGCACCCTGCACAGATGAGGTTGGCACCGGGACTCAGTACTTCAGAAGCTGTACATCCTGCAATAATCACTGCATGCTCCATGTGTGTGCACAGCTCATGTTTATAAACCTAGAATAACCTCTTGTTTTTTAGGGATGGCTCTTTGTATGGCATTCACATTGCCGCGGTGTTTGTTAATACAGAAAGCAGTGAGCTTTTCTACCCAGAGTCATTTCAGTGAAGCACACAGCATTATAGACAATGACTTCTTGTTCACATCCCTCCAGCCCAGCTCACGTTTAGGACAGTTAGGCATCATATAACTACCTGGCTCAGAGTTCAGTGAATCATTATGCTGCCTTTGTGTCAGCCACACTTGTAGACTACAAACAAGCAGACACAACACATGGACACTTATTTAGTTGTAAAAGACATCTAAAACACAGTACCAGCATGATTCCACAGAGAAGGAAAACAACTACTAGAGCCACACAATAAGGATGTAAATTAAACGGCCTTGTTAGAGTGTCACTGGTAGGAACTTCATCCAGAAGCAGGAGTAGGACCAAGCACCTGTTTTTGCATATCCAGCGATCTCAATGTGAGAGACAAAAGAGAAGAGTTTGTAAATTGGTATCAACTTTATAATTTAAGCCAGCATCCATGTGTTTCAGCTGAAATCCTGACGCTGACTTGGCAAACAGATTTTACACTGGAAGTTTCGTCTCCTCTGCCTTCATGACACTGTGAATTCCACCTTTGACTCACAAGAATTCATTCCCAAATGAACAGTTAATTGAGTGACACATGCAAGTCTTATTACTGTAGTGTGCCAAGCCCAGTTACAAGATATAATGTGCATTGGAAAACCACATTTAAAAATTAAGGCAATTTTAGTTAAATGAAGAAACAATATCTTCAGCCAATTCAAGCCGCTAAAGTCATCTCTTTTAGATTGTCTTAACACACAAGAGAATGATTTTGATTTCCTAAATGGAAATCTTAGAAGCTGAGTTTCAGCACAAAGATGTTTTATTATCATACTGTGATAACCTAAAATCAAAGTCAGTGTCATAATAACGACGATATTAGCATACAGTGGGAACCCTGTTAACTTCCTGAGATAGGAAAAAATATGGTTTATTTTATGTTCTAGAGGCTTCTACATAAAAGTAAAAAAATCTTCATCAGTAACATCCTGCATTCAGCTACTGAGCATGAAGTTGATGCTGTACAAATTACTGCCTGAGTTTTATCACTCAACACTCACTAGTATCTTCAGTTTCAAGAGGTTTTATGCTGGAATAGGAAGTTGAGTGAAATGTATATCACATAAAATTCCTAAATATACCTAAAGCTAACTTTGGAAAGATGAGAAAATCTGTGTAGCAATTTAAAAGCTAAATGAAACTGTCTCTGTTACTTGGTCACTGAATTTACACTTAAGATAGTAGCATTGAATGGAAAGCTCTCTCCATACCAATCAAGCTGTCAAGCCCATTGTTATAGAATCTCTGCTATAATTCAGAATCTATTATTGTCGCCATTGCATAACAAATTCTAAAAGAAGGTAATTTAAAACACTAAGAGACACTGGATCCCTTTAATCCCAATGAAAACGTTTCCCAGAGATAAGAGTTTTCAAAAGTTTGGTACTGATTCCTCAAATGTAACTAATCATTGCATCTTCCCTGCTTCTTTTCCCCCAGGTTATGAAAAAACCTATCTGGATCACTTCATTTTTAGAAAGATTCAGAGAGGTCTTTAAGTGCTATTCAAAAACCATCTATAAGGTATAACAGTATTTAGTGAATAAGGAACCCTAAAGCGTACAAGTATTAGGAAATAAATTACAATCAACATTGCGTGCAATGTGTGCAATATAAGCATATATAAGTGCAATATATGTGCAATGCAGGAAAACCAATAAACCATTTCTCACTCCCAAGCTTCCTCTTTTACACAGCACATACTCCTCAGCATCGGCAGGAGCTCCTCTCAGACTTTCAGACCAAGCAGCTGTCCACACCAGAAAGCTTAGTCCTGCGAGCTGTTAAGCACCTACTGTTTCAGAAACAGCAGTGATCACTTTACAAAATCGAATCTGCAGTGCCAGATTTATCTTCTTTTTTTGTTACAGCGCAAAGGCAGATGAGCTGCATACGTGAGTCACTTCTGTCTGTCGTCCCACAGACTCATGGAGGGTTACATAAAGAAATGTTTCCCAACAAAACAGTTTGTCATTACCTCCAGACTTCTGACAATGCCATTGTGGATTTTCATGAGCTACAGTAGGAAATTAGAAGTATCCAGATAGTGAAAGTCTAATTCAATAAATACAATGAATATAAGGTCTGGTTCAAGTTTGCAAGACCACTTAAATTATAGACCATAGTGGATCACAAAACTCCATCCTAATATAAATGTCATATAACTTCTATTGCCCTTAAATACATTCAGGTCTATAGCTTGGTAGCTGTTATAAGCATGGCAGAACAGTATCTAATTATAATTATAATTTTGTAATAATAATTATAATTTATCCCCTAAATCATTGTATTGGCCTATTTTGTTGTTTACAGCCATACGTCATATTTGCTAATAAAATTTTTAAGGTGATAAGCATTCAGTTTAGTGAAGAGTAAAGTTTAATCAGACTGCCTTTACAGCAGAAGGAAAATTGAGTTTCAAGCATGAACCCCAAAATATTTCAGAGTATTTGATGAGTAGTCAATGAGTACACTGTTCTGTACATTTCTTTTTTTTTATTATTTCTTAAAGTACATATAACTACAGGCATCATGTTTGAACTGCTTGTGGTGACTATTCGCAATAAAAATCAACGCGGTGAAGTACTTTAGACTAGCAAAAGGTTTTAATAATTTTCCTACCTTATCTGCCATTATCATGGAGGCCCCACCATGAATTCCAAGAATTGGAATAGAAGTCTGCGATGAAATAAAATCCAAAATCTGAGCTACCGCCTCCTGATCAGTATCATCTCCAAAAACCACTCCATGGATCTTGGTGCCGGACATCAAGTCGCAAACATGTGTTATGATGCTTTTAGGGTCAGTCTGGTTCACCAGAAGGGTCACTACATTGACATCAACAGTCAGGTCTGCAGACATTTCCCTGGTCCACAGACCTCTGATATCTCTCTCTGTGATATACTTTGTTCTTCCCAGAATCACTGCAATGTTCAGGATGGGATAACTCTTCTCTGCTCCATGAACAAGATCCAGAGGCGCCAGAAGAGCTTGGAGTACCAGGAGAGCACAGCCAATTTTCCTCATCTTTGCCAGCTTTGTCCCCTGTAAAACTGATCACATTGTATAAGAAAAATAGAGAGGAAAACTGTGTATCTTCAACAGAGGTTTTAAATAGAAAGATTCTGGACACAATGCAAACTTTAGCAGCTTTTTATAACTTGTTCTTCATCTTAGTTTCAATTCAAGCCTCTTACATTCCCTCAGAAAGTTGACTTGCCAATGATAGGTAGTGTTACAACTGGTCTCCCACAGGCAAGGCAGAAAACGAGGCACAAGTTCAGAAGACAGACCCATTAAAATTCTTCCTGGATGGCTAACAAAATTAGAATGGCAGAAATCATTAAAAAAAGACATTGCCATCCTTCTTCTTAACCTTGCTCTCCTAAAATAGGTAAAAAATTGAAGTCTATTTTCCTTTGTTGCAAACGTCTATTTAAAACTTAGTCCCAGTCTAATAGGAAGAAGTGCTTTAGCTTATAATGATAGAAGTAAGCCAGGGTCTGCTGGAAACCCCAGTCCAAATACTTCATACATCTCAAGGCATCCCAGAAACATGCTGTTTTATTTCTGGAACTCTGTCCTAGGCAGCTGCTGCTCACGCACAGTCTAACTGCGTTTCTGGAAGAGGTTCAGAAGCACGATATTCTCTCTTAATTCTTCTCCCTCCTCTGACACAGCATTCACTTGAGCATCTCAGAACTGCTGATCTCAGATGTGAAGTTGACACTGGTGCTGAAGGGGAGGGTGTTGCACGAACGAGCATCGCTGCATCGGTTTACTTCATCTCTTCACGGAATCCCTGTAGGGCTCTGAATACGGAGAGAGAGTATGACGGAGAGAGTCATACAGAAGTGCTCTGAACTAGCTGAAGGAGGGAGCGGCGGTCTAACTGCAGATATCCCTCTGCTGCTGCGCCCCGAGGGGTTTCCACCCCCGTAACTGCGAGCGGCAGGAGGGGACTCCCCGAGCCGCGTACAGCCCAGCTCGCCTGCAGAGCATCGCGCAGCCGCCACAAGGAGACTCTCGGGGCTGGCACCCTCAGATCCCCCCTCCCCATGTCTCCCTGAGCCCCCCCCCAGCGCCCAGCCCCACGGCCGGCACCGGGCGCGCCCCTGGCCTGTGCCTGCGCCCGCGCCCCCGCGCCCCGCCGGGCGCCCCTGGGCGGAGGCGCAGCGAGAAGATGGCGCCGCCTGGCGGCCGCGCGCCTCAGCACACGGAGCGGCAGCGGGGCGGGGGACTCAGGAGCGGCCCCCAGTAGGGGGTCGAGGGCTAGGGGAGAAGACCCCCTGCCAGGCTGGGGGCTGGCAGGGCGCGGGGACCCGGACGCACTCCGGGAGCGACCAGAGGGAAAAGTTGCCCTGGGAACCCCCAGACTCCCTCCGGGAAGCCCCCAGGCCCCCTGAGAACCCCCCAGGCCCTCCCGGGAGCTTCCCCGTCAGGATCCGTCCAAGCACGGTCCGGGAAAGAGTGGGATCGGGTGCGGGCAGGATCCCTTCGCGATCCGGTGCCGCTCCCGGTCCATCAGCACCGACCCTGGGGGAGCCACGCGAGGAGGTCGCTCCAGCAAAAGCTCGGCTCGCTTCGGATTTTCGCCGGTGGCCGCGGGGCCACTGCTGGTAGCGGCCCCAGCTGAGGCAAGGCGAGGGACGCCTGGAGGCTGCCCCTCACGGCCGGCCGGGAGCCCGCAGCAAGCCCCGCACCAGCGCCCGGTGCACTCACCGCCGCCTCCGCTCCGCTCTCCTGTTCGTGCCGCTCATCCCAGCAGGTTCCTCCTCAAGCAGCGCGGTGGAAAACAGGGTCCCTGGTGCCCGGGCGGCCGCCCGCAACTCGTGCCCGCCGCAGGAACCGCGAGGCCGGCAGCTCCGCGCCGCCCGCATCGTCAAGTTTTAGCAGAGGCAGCGCAACTGAGATTCGCTCTTTACTTTTGGCCGCAAGCATTTAGGCATCTTCATGGCTTTCCATTTTTCTTTTTCCTTTTCTTTTTTTCAGTTCTTCTGCCTTTTTTAGCTTTATTTATTTATTTATTTATTTATTTTTCTGGCTGTTCAAAGGGCAGTTGCAATATTGCTGCGGCAGTTCCCCAGGACGGCATCTCTGAGCCCCGGCTCGTCTTAGTCTCTTGCGAGCGCCGGGGGCGGGCAGCGGCGCCTCCCGAAGGCGCCACGGGAACCACCCGGCGGCCGATCCGATCCGATCCGCTCCGATCCGCTCCGCCGCCCACAGCCCCGCCGCCCCCCTCGTCAGAACAAGCCGAATCGCGGCTACTTTGAAGGCTCCCCCCCGCCGCCGCCACCTCCCCGTTCTGCTTCTGCCGGCACCAGCGAATGAGTCAGAGCCAGGCGGTCGGGGGAGGAGGTGTTGGATCTGGGGAGCAGCGACAGCACAGGGTTTGGGGCAGAAGAGTGGAGAACTTGAGCGCTCGTCCCAACTTAACAGCCCCAGAGAAAGGTTGGTGGCCCCGGGAAGCCCCCGAGTATTCTCCTTTCCCGTGACGCAGGGGCTGCCAACCAGAAATCCCTGCCATGGGCTGAGGGGAATGAGCGTGGAGCTGCAGTTTCCACACTGAAACCAACCTTAAAAGCTCCAGACTGCAGCCAAATATCACAAAAATACTCCAAGAAGCTGGCTGCATTTGAGCATTCCTGCTGCTCCATGATAGTTGGGCACCCCCCTTCCCAAGGCACCCTGGCCCCGTTTCTCCAGCTCCCCCTCTCCTGGCACTGCCCAGGTGTCAGACCCACACAGATGTTTCACGGCCCCTGCCTGCACCGCACACCCTGCCTTCTGCCTCCCTCCCTCTGCTGCTTTCCCCTTCCCACCACCCTCCTCCAGCTGCCACAACTTACTTGGTTTTGTACGAATGAGTATGCCAGCTAACTACCACAGAGGTGATGTGTTTGTGCTCAGTCCTTTACAGCCACATGCACTCCTAAGCTAAACACTTGGGAGTAGGGCTACGCAGACCCACTCAGCAAGACACATATGCAGAGGAAAAATTTGGAGATAATCAGGAAAAAGCCAAGTGGCCTTGCACGCTGAAGTTTGCTTCTCACTGCATTAAGGCACACACCACAGAGCTTAGTCCCTAAGACACTTAATGCACCAGTCTTACTGCTCTTGACAGTCTTGTCATAAAAGTCCCCAGGTCTATGCCTTTTTTTTTTTTTTAAAGATCTTGTCTCCTAGCTTTAGAGATGGCTTCCTTAGACATTGCATTAGTCCTTGAAGCAAAGCAATTAAGCAGCTACAACTGTACCAGTTTTTAAAGTTTGATGTTTAAATGCATCCTTGCATTTCACCCTTAATGCACACTTCTCTCCTGTAAATATTACAGCAATGTTTGTCACACTTACTGGAAATGAGGCTGCATCCACAGCCCGGTGTAAAGGTTATTTCAGTGTTATCATTCAGCTGCAGATTCATTAAAGCAGCAGCAAAAACAGGGATTCAAGACCATAAGTATCCTGAATGCAAGTTAAATTCACAATGGGGAAACATAGCTCTAATGTTAGCATACCTTTAAAACACCAAAAAATGTCATGGTGTCTTTGGAAAACAATAAGCACATGTGTTGTGTACAATACATGCCCTGAATTTGGTGGTTTGAAAGACCAATAAAAGAAATAATCAAGATGGTGGGGCGGGTATTTCGGTTGCTTGTCTTTTTATTATTATTATTATTATTTATTTTATTTTAAACTCTAATAGGGCTATATGACTTTCATGAATCAAAGTTTAGATATATTTTGGCATCATTTCAAATATTTTCCTTAATTATTTTTACAAAACCTTCAGAACCCAACTGAAGTACTGAATTTAAAGCAGCCCAAATTAATTTATGAATTAGAATTAAAGTAAAACATGATTAAAAGTTTGTTCAAACACAGAGACCAATCTTGGCAGTATATAGGCAGTCTTTCCAAAAGCTTCACTGAATTCAAGTAGATTACTGCCTACAGAGTTGAGTAAATGCTGCAAAATTAGACTGCTATTACAATATACATCCGTAGTCCATTTCTAGGCATTTTTGCACAGTTTAATTTAAGATTAAAGAGAGGAGCTGCAAACATGGTAAGACATCAACTTCACTCAGTAGAAACAAGAAAGCACAATTTGCATTTAAGTGTCTGTAATTCACCCTTGTAATTTACGTGTAAAAAAGAGAACAGACACTTTAAAAGCAATATAACAAACACTAACATCCCTGCACTTGGGAGATTAAGTTGCAAATTTAGTATTTTCATGGGGATTTATTCTGAAAGGCAGATGGATTGAAACATATGTTATTGCCTTCTCCCCACCAACAGCTGTATGCCCATCTAAAAGAAGCCACAACCTAACTTCTAGAAGTTAGGACTCCTGCCCTTCTGAGAAGGGTTTCCAGCTTGGGTTTCTCTGCCTTCTGCCCACTTCACAAACCCTTAAAAGTCAAGCTTTCCCCCACAGCAACATCAAATTACAAAAGGTTTCCCATTTTCACAAATTGCCTCTTTCAGAGTACTCTTGTCAATAGAAGGGAGCAGCTGAATTGTCAAGTACAAGAAATAACTCCAAAGGGGGCAGAAGAGGCAGTGGGGAGTCATGGTCTGGCACAAGGGCCATTTTTGTCTCTTGCTGACTTCACCATTGTGTCTGTTACTTTTTCTCCATTTGCTTTACTTGACCATCTGTAAAATGCTTACCTCAGAGACAAACTAAAAGCCAAATTTTACCCCCAGATTCAGGCAAACATAATTTTCCTCTCACTTCTGGATAGAGGAGCATTACACAGAGCAATTATGGTCACCCTTTTAAAAAGGGAATTGTTCTCTTGTAATGACACTCAAGTCAGACAAGAAAAATACTTCAGCACATTGAGAATGGAATGGCGAAAACTGGATGTCAACAGAGTTAAATTTGTTTGCAGCTCCAATTTAAGCTGTGATTCAAGATTTCTCAAAAACAAACTGCAGATCCACCCAGTAATTCTTGCTTCTTGGAAGCACCATTCTGAAAAACTCCATTAGTTTGGTGAAACAAAAAGGTAGGAAGAGATTACCTGTATCTGGCTAGGTTCAGGGAGAGACACTTACTTTGAATTTATTCCGCCTTTAAAATCATCTCTAGTTCCAGCAGTAACTCTTCTTGTATTTAGGGGATATTGCTGCAACCAGTAAGAAAAGTATTTACCTGTGTCTTATGTGCTGAAGTCTCCCTACCCTGAGAAAACTTCCACAGCAAGAACTGAAAGTGACATTGATGGAAAACCATTTTTCAGTGCCACATAGGATCAAGTCTGTAATGAAATCACTTGACTCAGCAAAAACATAATGCAGAGCAAACAAGCATGCAATATCAACCTTAATTTGGGGTGGGCTGCAAAGTTATAGGCATATCAAATGAACTGTAAAAGCAAAAATAGGAAAAAACTCAATTGTTTGCAGGCTTACTAAAACATTTGGTCACAGATGGCCCTCTTATTGGAAACTGGCTTAGCTCCTCGTTTGGCAGTGTCCTTTCTTGTACAATTTACCAAATCATGCATGAAATGATGGCCTTAAGCTACTCCCAGTTCTGCAGAGGACATGAGCTGGCTGCCACAGCAAAAGGAGGTGACATCGCTGAGTGGAGCCAGAGGCTGCTACAGCACCTGGGGGCTGAGCAACCCGCCCCAGCAGGGAGCAGCCCAGACAGAGGTGCTCCTTCCCACCTCACCCCAGCTACCAAAGAGTTAGCGGAGATTGGCCAGCACTGTGCCCAGGGAGCTATTTGAAGTTCACCAGCAGTGTGTCTTTGCCTCTTTTGTAATTATTTTTCCATACCAAATCAATCTTCAGCTTTATTTCCAAACTGCTGTGCAATTCTCAGAAGGCAGACTGTTTCTCTGGGAAATCACTGAATTAGCCAGATCTAGCACAGGGTCAAGCCAGAATTCCATTGTGAACCCTGTACCTTTTAATTAAAGCTGCTCAGTTAACAGATCTGTGTCACAAAGTTGTGGCCCTGTGAAGACTGTCAGGAGCAACCCCATTGCACATCCAGCAGCTTGCACAAGGACCAGATTTCAGAGAATCGAATTATCTGTAAATACCTAGCTTAATGCTGCTTCTCTTTCTCCCCCCTCTTCCCCAGCAGAAATTGCTAAATATCCATATATTTATAATGAAACCTTCTAGGAAGCACCCTAGTAAACACCTCGCCCTTGCACTGCCAGCTTGCTCATTAATGAACAGCAGAGGAACAAGCAAAAGATCGCCCTTAACTGTTTAGGGCCAACATATGATCTCCTCATCTGCACTGAATTCAGTAGAAGTGACAAGCCTTTATGAATCAGATTTTTTAAATACTATTTTAAGTCATCTTTTCACTCATGCCCTGAACCATATAAATCTCTTTCATGTCTATTTCTGGGCAGCATGATGGGCCTTGTATTTACCAGCTTGTATTAGTTTATATTAGTTTATATATATTAGTCTTATATCAGAGTCTTTAAGCATATAAAGAAGTAGTTTTGCTGTTCACATGGAGCACTTTGTGTCTCTATTTGAGACAGTCTACTTTATGTAGACAGATTATTTACCTAAAAAAGCTCCCGTGTATACAAGTGGGGTGTATTTTCAGAAATATTACCAAATTTTGTTTCAAGACACAGATTACTGTCATTTGGATCTTCTGAAGAAACAAAACTTAGCTCCAAAGCCCAGCCCCTTGGATAAATTAACATGTATTTTGTAGTCATGGTGTAGGACAGACCTTGAGGGTAGATGAGCTACTACAGTCTTATCAATATTAGCATTACTTGTAAAACAAACTTTTGGGGAATACTCTGAGGTTATTTTGCTCAAGATTTGATTCATCACAAATAATATTACTACTTGGGCCCAGCACAGACAGCAGCGACCCTTCACACATCGCTCACCGGTGGCACTTGCTTGCCCAGTGCAAGCTGTGCTGAGTGGGAAGCACTGAGATGCCTACACTGCATCTGCTGCCGAGTGCTTCACTAAGCACATTTTCACTTAGGGAGTTCAGACTTTTCTAAATCCAGAAAATCAAATTTAGTAAAGGTCGACGGAAGCTCCTTAACACACAATTACCTCAGCCATAGTTGGAACATATTTTTAAGATGAGTAGTATTTTGCTCCTTGCATGCAGCCCGTTTCTCAATTGTAGGCACTAGCGCTATTAAAACTAGGTGCTAAAGGCTTATGAGACATCTGAGCCAGTAGGAATAGATCCAAAACAGAAAAATCCCCCTTGGTCTA